TAAAAAGGACATCACAAAATAAATATTTTGATAATGATTCTATATAATTGGCTTCCTTTGTATTCCAAAGTAATTTACTTTTTGTAGGTAAAAATATTCTTCTGAATAGTGGTCCACAGTATTCATCAGACTGCCAAAGGGGATCCTTGGCTAGACAGACATGGGTACCAGTCCTGCCTGGACCATAGATGACTGTGTGACATCAGGCTTGGTAGGTCTCTCAGGGGCATAATCATCCTAGTTTTGCTCACCCACAGGGTTGTTGGGAGGAACAAATTAATCCGTGGCTGGAAAAGGACTTAGGAAACTGTTGGCAGCTTCCCAATTTTACCAAAAGGCCAGAGCAGAGCATTTCCACTTCCTGGCTGAACCCCATATCTTCAGGAGCATTCGCTCCTTTCCACAAGATTGTACCACTCCCCTTTACTCTCCAATAAATAAAGAGGCCAAAATGCGCCTCCATTAGAATACACTACCCAGCTCCCAGTCTGCAGAGATCCCCAGTTGGGGAAAGATTTTCTGAGGGATAATAACAATTCTCTCCAGTTTTCATATTCGACCTTAGAGTGACTCCTGAAGACACCACCCCCTCAAAACTCTTCTCTGGTCCTTCACATGGTGACCCCTCTGTGGCCACAATCCCTGCATGTCCCCTTTCACTGCCCTGTCCTGTGATGTCTGTCTCACTCCCCCACCATACTATGTGTTTCTCAAGGGCAGACTCAGACTCGACCCCGCACAGAGGCTCCAGTGCCCAGGTCAAAGTCATGGCACACATTAGCATCTTAGGAGCTGGTCTAGGTGAAGAAAAGGAATCTGAAGCACAAAGACTAAAGGCGAGGAAGGGGTCAAGCTGGGGCTTGAGTCCAGATCCCCTGATGCCCATGATTTATCCACCACACACCCAACGCAAGGGATGGAGAAACTGGGGCATCCCGAGGCATTACATGATTTCCTACTCTACCCACTGCTGTGAAAAATAAGGAGAGCTAAAAATGAGGATAGCCCATCTGCACAATGAGAAATGTCAGAGTCAATGGCTTTTAAACCTTTTGACCTGATTCAGAATAAAAAATGCATTTTACATAGTTTTACTATCTGGCATGTACTTTTTCTATTCCATTTAATTACTGTTATTTTTAATGCTACCTGTGACTTGATAACTGATTACATGGCCCAGGGGCGCTTTTCAGCCCCATTCCTCTGTGTTGGCTGAAAGGGAATTATTCACATAATGAATGGGGCAATTAAAGTTTAGAAGTTCCTAGTCCTAGCTCAGTGTGATTAGGCCAAACTGCCTACCTCTCAGAGCCTCGGTTTCCCCAAAGTACCCTGAGAGGACAGACAGAAAATCTCTAAGGGCTTCATATAGCCCCTTCAGACTGTGGTCCTCTGATCATAGTGAGAACACTTCTCCTGTGATCTGGACATTGTTTCTGAATGGAGAGGTACACTGGATTTGCTATCTGCTGGGTGGGATTACCATCTAGAACATTTATTAGTCCCCTTGTCCTAGGGCAGTGTGGACAGGGTGTTAACAGGGAATATGAACAGTCAGAGCATGAGCTAGCTGCTCAGGGAAGGAAGAGATAGAGGAAGCCAGAGGATGAGGTTATTTAAAAGTCCACTGGTGGACTTCCAGTCAAGATGGTGGCACAGGCAGGCATGGTTCGCCTCTTTGCACAACCACATCAAAATCACAACTAAAATATAGGACAACCATCGCTCAGAACCATCAGAAATTGAGTCAAAGGGGAGTCTGACAACTACAGAATTAAGGAAACCACATCCATTCAGACTGATAGCAGGGTGAAGTCGCAGAATGGGTTCGTCCCACACCCACAAGTGGTGCATTAAAAATTTGGGAGGGATATCTGGGAAGCAAGGAATCACAGCCCCACACCAGGCCCCCCAGCCCAGTTCCAGTGCCAGAAAGATAAATCCCCACAACTTCTGGCTGCAAAAACCAGTGGGAATTGAGTCAGTGGAAAAAAACTGCTGGAGCCCCATGCAGCTCCTCTTAAAGAACTCACACATGGACTCACCTTCTCATACTCACTCCCTCTGAGCTCCAGCACCAGGGTAGCAGCTTTAAAGGCACCAGTGGTATGCAGGGAGGAACTGAAGTGTCTGGCATCAAGGCCAGCAGAGGCCATTGTCCCTTTTCCAAATCCTCCCCCAACAGAGCCAGTAAGCTGGAGCCATATATGAGACTCTATTAACCTAGCTAACACTGTTTGACTCCCCTTGGAGATCCCCAGAATCTCCGCCCTTCACTAACTTACAGGGACACCCAAGCAGTCTTTCCATATGAGTAGCTGGTCTTGGCTCATGCTTTACAACTTACTAAAACCTATCAAACAAGCAACAGCTGGCCTCAGCGAGCCCCAGGCCCAGTACTAGCAGCAGCCAGCCTAGTTTCACAGCTTGGCTTCACCTGGGAATCTCCAAGCCCAGCACAAGTAGCAGCCATCTCAGATTGCTTTATAGCTCAGGCAGGGAGACCCAGGGCAAAACACAGGTTGGGGCTAACCTTGGCCTGCACCATCCAGGAAACTCCAGGGCCAGCACACTCAGGGAACAGCTACAGACCACGTCAGAGCACCACCACCCTGCCCCTGCACAGCTGGTCCTCTACAGAGGGCAGAGGTTTGTAGTCAGTGGTCATAGCCAGTCCTTGCAGCTGCAAGATGGGCCTGGGTAACTCCCTCCTATTCATCTTCCAAGGGCAACCAAGGCTCAACTACAAGAGGAGGATATACTCAGCTCACACAAAGGGTGCACCTTGAATATCCAGCTTGGGTGATAAGGGAAGCTGTACCACTGGACCCTACAGGACACCTACTACATTAGGCCACACTACAAAGACATGGAGTCAAAGCAGCTCTACCTAATACAAAACAAACACAGGAAGACTGCCAAAATGCGGAGACAAAGAATCATGGCCCAAATGAAAGAATAGATCAAAACTCCAGAAAAAGAGTTAAACAAAATGGAGATAAACAGTATATCAGACATAGAGTTCAAAACATTGGTTATAAGGATGCTCAGTGAACTTAGTGAGGACATTAGCAGCATAAAAAAGATCCAGTCAGAAACAAATGATACACTAATTGAAATAAAGAACAATTTACAGGGAAATGATAGTAGAGTGGATGAAGCCAAGAATCAAATCAACGATTTGGAACATAAGAAAGAAAGAAACAATCAATCAGAACAACAAGAAGAAAAAAGAGTCCAAAAAAATAAGCATAGTTTAAGCAGCCTCTGGTACAACTTCAAGAGGTCCAATATTTGCATCATAGGGGTACCAGAAGGAGAAGAGGAAGAGCAAGAAATTGGAAATCTACTTGAAAAAATAATGAAAGAAAACTTCCCTAATTTGGTAAAGGAAATACACATGCAAGTCCAGCATGCACAGAGTCCCAAACAAGAGGATGCAAAGAGGCCCACTCTAAGACACATCATAATTAAAACGCCAAAGGTTAAAGATAAAGAGAGAATCTTAAAAGCAGCAAAAGAAAAGAAGTTAGTTACCTACTGGGGAGTTCCCCAAAGACTGTCAGCAGATTTCTCAAAAGAAACTTTGCAGGCTAGAAGGGATTGGCAAGAAATATTCAAAATCATGAAAAGCAGGAACCTACAGCCAAGATTGTTCTACCTAGCAAAGCTCTCATTTAGTATCAAAGGGCAGATAAAGTGACCTTATCCCAAGTAAGGTCAAGTTAAAGGGGTTCATCATCACCAAGACCTTATTATATGAAATGTTAAAGGGACTTATTTAAGAAAAAGGAGATCAAAACTATGAACAATACAATGGCAAAAACTACAAACCTATCAACAATTGAACCTAAAAAACAAACTAAGCAAATAAGGACAGAATCATAGATACAGAGAGTGTTTTAATGGTAACCAGATGAGAGGGGGTGTGGGGGAATGGGTGAAGAGGTGAGGGGATTAAGAAGTACAAATAGGTAGTTACAGAATAGCCATGGGGATGTAAGTACAGTATAGGAAATGGAGTAGCTGAAGCCAGGAAGCTATGTATAACCCATGGAAATGAACAATGGTGTGGGGATTGCCTGAGGGAGTGTGTGTGTGTGGTGGGGGGTGCTGAGTGAGGGGGCGGGACAAAGGGGGGAAAATCAAGACAACTGCAATAGCATAATCAATAAAATATTTTTAAAGATAAAAGTCCACTGAGAGGTGCTGTAAGAGCAAGGCCTTGAGAACAAGGCAAACCCTGGTTAAAACCCACGGGCTTGAGGGCCAGGGGAAAATGACTTCTCTCTGACCCTTAGCACTCATTTATAAAATGGGTTTGAAAATCCCCGGTCCTCTGGCTTGTTGTAAAGGTTAAGTGAGGTAGGGTGTTAATCATCCCATACTCGCCCTACTGTGTGGTCACTGGCTGGTCCCTGGTCTGCGCCCTGCACTAGCCTGACACTGACCTGAGATTCCCAGTGTCCACACAGTGCCCAGCACCAGGCGGTGCTCAGGGAAGATGTGGAATCCACGCTTCGATTCCCGCCCTGCCACCCTGGACACGTGTTGTTCCCCTGAGCATCCAGCATCCTCGTGCATACCCTGGGAACGCAGTGGAGCCGGTGGGGGAGCGCCTATAGGGACCGGCCCCCCTACAGCTCTCCCTGGTAGCTCCCTCTCCCCGCTCCAAGGGTCGACCCCCAACCCCGCGCCCGCGGCCGGGCGGCCGCTCCCGCCTCCTTCCCACCGCTCTCCACTCCCACCGCTCCTCGATCCTCCTGCTTTCCTTCCTCCACCTACCTCCGGCTGCGCCCTGTCCGCGTACCTGTTCGTCTCTCTTGGTCCTCGGAGACTCTAGGTTTCTAACCGCTGCGTCTCCGCGCCTCGCGTCTTTCTCTGGTCTCTCTGCCTGTCTCTGCCCACCTCTCTCTCTGTCTTTTCTGTCTCCGCCCGTGTCCTCCTCTCGCCGGCCGGCCGGTAGCCGGAGGTGGCGGCGGGCCCCCGCGCCGGGCGCGATGAGCGGCGCCTGCACGAGCTACGTGAGCGCGGAGCAGGAGGTGGTGCGCGGCTTCAGCTGCCCGCTCCCGGGGGGCGAGGCGGCCGCGGTCTTCTGCTGCGGCTTCCGCGACCACAAGTACTGCTGCGACGACCCGCACAGCTTCTTCCCCTACGAGCACAGCTACATGTGGTGGCTCAGGTACCGGCCCTGGCCCTAACCCCACCTAGAACCCCAAACCAGTCTTAGCCCTCTTGCCCCGCTTGAGCCAGGCCGCGTGCTAAGCCCTCAGGACGCATTCTGATCCTGGTTCCAACCACTATTCAGATCCAGGCTTGAACCTCACCCCAACTCCTTCCTGAAAAAGCTTCACTCCATCCCCATTCCAAGCCTCATCCTCCACCACCCTCAACCCAACCCCAAAATACATACCAACACCTCTGCCTAACAACAAAACTCCCATCTTCCAGTGTTCGCAGGAAACCCAAACTCCACCCCCATCCAAGTGCCCACCAAGATCCCCTCCCTAATATCAACATCAACCTCATTCCTGACTTTACTCACTTCCCAATACTGATCCCAGCCTTTACTGTATCACCAGCCCAACCTCCCCCTCCAGAATGCCTGCAATCCCACCTGAGCTCTCCTTCCCCACCCTGATTCCAAACATTATATATAGATCTCCATCCAAACCTCTGCTTCAAGCCTTAGTTCTCACCTCATGCTACACCCCAACTCATCCCCACCCTCATCCCAGCCTCAACTCTTTCCTTCCCCCTGATACTCACTCATTCTTTCAGCCATCTCTTACTGCGCACTTAGCTCTTCTAGGCCCTGTGATGAGTGCTAGGGAGGTACTACAAGCCTGAGCTAAGAGAGAAGACCAAGAGGTCAGCGCTACCTCCAAATTCATCATGACACTATGGCATAATGCCACAGCAGAAGCCAGCTCAGGCTGTATTAACAGCATGATTTGGGTGAATACCCACAAGTCCTCAGTTTCCCCACTTGTTCAGGTGAGGCTATTGCTGACATTCCTGGAACCTCAGTGGAGAGATGAGAGGGCAGTTGGCTGCAGTCTCTCTCCATCTCCAAAGGCCTCACCCTGAAAGTAGGACTTGACCCTGAACCTGCTCTGGGAAAAAGATATCAGCAAAAATGGAATGGGCCATCTTCGTAGACAGTAATTTTCCTGTCCCCGGAGGTATTTGACTAGAGGGGCTGCATGCCCTCTGAATGGGAAGAGACAGCCTCCCACTAAAATTTCTCTGAGCCTTTGTCTTTTTATCTGTCAAATGGGGAAGATGATAAATCATTGCCCTGATTTCCAACTAGGGCAAGGACCAAATGAGATAAAGAGGTGAAATCAGCTTAGCGTATGCCATGGACAATTATAGATACCATTTCTTTTTCTAAATAGTTCAACCCATAATTCTAAAGGATTTTCGGATGGCCAGGTTTTCAGAGCCTGCACACTCAGCTGCTATCTGTAACCCAGAGAAATATATTAATTCTCTGTTCATCCACTTTTTCATTCATTTATTATAGCCTTTTCTCTGTATCAGGTGCTACACTAGGCATTTGAGACACAGAAATCAATTATTCCCTGCCCCTCGGTAGCTTATAGTCCACTCAAAGAGATATGACATGCACCTAAAGTACAACAATGGGGTTTTTGTCTAAAAGCGACTCTGTACTGACCACTGAGGCAGGTGCTGATGTATGATAGCACTTACTTCCCTTTGGGGTATAGAGACAATGTGAAGCTTTGGGACTGATTAGAGCCCAGTCCAAACCTTGGTTCTGTCACTTAATAGCTATGTGAATTCAGGCAAATTATGTACAAGTCTCTCTTTTCATCTTTAAAATGGCAATAGTAATACCTGTCTCATGGAATTGTTGCGAGGATGTGGTGAAGTATGCGTGTGAAAGTGACCCGTACATATTGTAGATGTTCAGTAAAAGGGAGTTCTCTTTCTCTGGTTCATAGGAAGGGAAAGTGAAGCTTGGAGTAGGAAAGTGATTTGTCCAAGATCTTCTAGCAGATTGAGGGTGGGAGGTGGGGGTGGGTAAGGCAGGGGAAAATGGTGGTGGGAAAATGGAGACAACTGTACTTGAACAATAAAAAAAATTTTTTTTAATTAAAAAAAAATCTAGCCATGTCACAGTAGACTGAGATTTAAAGAACATTACCTAGGACCGTCCAAGGGCTCGATGCATTAGTACATTTGCAACTCTGGCACGTTTTCTCTCCATTTTACAGATGAGAAAACTTGAAAGCCCTTAAGTTACTATCAGGGAGTGCCCCAAGCCCAGGCTTGTCCTGCTGCACAACTGTGTAAATCTAACCCTGGCTCTCTTATAAACTGCTCTACTCAGATCATTTGAAAAAAATACTTAATGACCTTTTACTGTCTTCTGGATACTGTGCTAGCCCTTGGAAACACAGAGATGAGTAACCCCCTCAGCACCCAGCCAGAACCCCAACCCTCTACTACTACCCTCTTCCCTAAACACCCTGAGGTCCCTTCAGTTGCCTTGGACCCTTGTGATGCATGGAGTACTTTAGTGGCTTAGGCAATGAGGTAGTTGTTGGATAGGGTGAGCTCTGAGGTTATATCACATGTCATTGTGGTCCCATCCTATGACCACACTGCAGGCTAGTTCCTCTGTCCCCAGAGAGACAGCACCCACTTCTTGACTGACCACTGATCTGAGATACAGCCCCAGAGTTCTCTCACCCACTCTTCAAAGGACCCTACTTTTAAAGGGTCCTTTCCATCCAGGTGGCCATAGATGTCCCTTGTAAAGGGTGGGGTCCTAACTTGAGCACAAATCTCCCAGCTGAGAGCCTTATAAACAGTGAGTGTATCTCAAAAGAGGAAATAATGTTTCAAAAACGAACAAATATTACATGCTTTATGTGGAAAATGTAGAAAGGACAGGAAAAATTAAAAAGGAACGAAATCATGAGCAATCCAGTGTCTGAGCTTGGGTTCCCCATAAAACTCAGAGACAAGGATTTGCGGAAAGATAGTGTATATGGAAATCAATCCTAGAGAACACTGGTGGAGGGTAGGGAACTGAGGGTGGGGAAGGGAAGGAACTAACCACAGTGTTACCAAGCAAGTCACCACCAAGGGTCCCCAGAGCTTAAGAACTCTGCCAGCCAGTGTAGAACCTACACCTCAAAATCATTCCAACTAAGGGCTGGGAAGCTGGGAATTCACATACCAATGCCTGTTAGTCATTGGTTGTGTGCTGGTGTGAGAAGGCAGGCATTAATTTTCCTGCCCTTCTGACCTGCTCACTGTGCAGGTTGAGTCTGTTCTGGGCCCAAGAAAGGCCTCAGGCAAAAAGATACAAATGCTGGCATTTGAAACTCTGGCCAGAATATTTTACAATTATATCCCTAATGGGACACTGACAAGACATCCACATCCTGGGCTACATCCAGCTACAGCCTGTTAGCATTTTGGTGTATTTCCATTCAAACCTTACATAGTTCTTACGCATCTATTTGTATTTATTTATTTGAGCTGAAGTTATGCAATATACTTAGTAATGTGTCCTGCTCTTTTCACTTACATTCTCTCATCTAAATTTAGCCTTGATCTTAAATATTACTTGAAAAAATGTTTTTAAGAGCTCTTTACTATTCCATTGCATCCATTGCAGGGGTATCCAATAATTTATTTAGCCATGGTAATACATACTCTCCAAAGCTCTAAGGTGTTTCTGTTTGGTGGAAATTAGCCATCAGCTAGCTGGGAGCAAAATGTGGCAGAAATGGCAAGGGCAGGAGTCTGGGGCTGGGGTCAGGGAGAGTGGTGGGCAGAAAAACTGGAGAAGGAGTCTGTGATATAGTGATTTATAAGATATTTGGTCTTCATCCACAGTTCCTGGATCACAGCTCCCAAAATCCTTGGAATTTCTTAAGTATTGAGAATAATAAAGGGGTCTTTTGGGCCCCACTCAAGGGTAGAATCTGGTTGCCGGGAAAAACAAACCATGTGATGAGAGGTTTGGAACTTCCAGTCCCTGCCGTCTTTTCCTGACCTCGGGGAAATGGGCTGGAGATTGAGTTCAATTATCAATGGCCAATGACTTGCTCAATCATGACTACACAAAGAGGCCTTCGTAAAAACCTAAAAAGACAGACGTTGGTCCTTATTGTTCTTTTTGGAGAGCTTCCGTTTTGGGGAACCAGAATGCTTTCATGTGCCACCAGGCCCTAAGCTCCACAGAACCTCCTTTGTTCGTGACCTTGCCGTATGTATCTCTGCATCTGGCTGTTGATTCAAATCCTTTAATATTCTTTATAAGAAATGAGTAATCTAGTGAGTGAACAATTTTTCTTGTTCGTGTGAGCCATTCTGGCAACGTAATCGAACCCAAAGAGGGGGTTATTAGAACCTCTGATCCATAGCTCGTTGGTCAATAGCACAGGTAAGAGCCTGGACTTGCAGCTGGTATCTGACGTGTGCCTGCGTGTGGGGGGTCATGGGGCACTCTTGGACAGCTGAACCCTTAACCTATGGAATCTGATTCTGTCTTTGGTAGGTCGTATCAGAATTGATCTGAATTCTCAGATACCCTGCTGGGGTCAGAGAAACACTTGTTGGTGTGCAGAAGTCTCCGCATGCCTTGTTAGTACTGGGTCTGGGGAATCCTTTTCAGAGTAGTAGGCAAGAAGGGCACAGAAACAAAGCCTGGTGCTTACCTATGTCCTAGCATTGTAAGAACATCTCACAGTGCCTAACACATAGTAGGTAGTCAGTAAAATTTACTAACTACCTGCTTTGTGCCAGGGCCTGTACAAGAGGAGGACAAGGCCAAGTAAATATGGTCTGCGTCTGCCTTCAAGGAACATGTGAGAAATATGTAGAACACCTACTATGTGCCAAGAATATGATAAATATCATTCATCCTCACGACCACCTGTGGAATGCTCTGTTTTGATCACTCTCACTTTTCAGACTAAGAAGCTTTGGCTCAAAAGGTTAAACACCTTCATAAGGATCTCATAGTTAGTTACAGAGCTGGATCCTAACCCAGGCAGGTCTGATTCCAAAGTTCTTTGCTCTTTTCCTACCACATTGGGCTGCCTGGCCCAGTGGAAGTGCTAAAGGTCCTGAGTAAAGCATCTGGGTGGATTAGCCTGGCATGTGGGGAAAGAGGGGAGGGGAGAGAAAGGGAAGAGAAAGATGATCAAGGAAAGCATTACTGAGGAGACATTTAAGATGGGCCTTTGGAGACAGGTAAAATTCTAATGTAGGGAGATAATGGGGAGGAATCATGTGAAAAAGAAAAGACAGTAGCCCCCAAATGAGATAGGAGGTAGTTGTCTAGAGACTAAGTGACTAAGGCCCGACTTGGGGCAGACACAATGAGATCAAAGAGTGAGGGACCAGTGGCAGGAGGTTTTTAGATGTGGAGTCCACACTCGTATGACCTACTGGAGGGTGGGTCAGAAATTTCCTTGAGGCTGGAAGGACAGCTGATTTTTAACTAAGGCCTACCATGTTGTCTTGATTTTTTTTAAGAAACAGCAGTGTGGAGACAGCTCTTTAAGGTCATCTCCAGCTCCCTGGGGTGGGAGTAGGTTGAGGAAAGTGGGGAAGGAAGGAGAGGAGAAGAAAGGGAACACCCACTGAGTCCCAACTATGTGGTGGGACACTTCTCCTATAATATGCTACTTCCCAAGCCCCTTCCTGACACTCAGTTCCTCTGTGGTTTTCTCTCCCCAGCATTGGTGCTCTTGTGGGCCTGTCCATAGCAGCAGCGGTCCTCCTGGCCTTCATTGTCACCGCCTGTGTGCTTTGTTACCTGTTCCTCAGCTCAAAGCCTCACGCCAAGTTGGACCTAGGTTTAAGCTTACAGACTACAGGTAAGACAGAGGCCACGTGGTTTCCTTGTATTCGGCAGGCAAGCATTTTTACAAAGGGGACATATTTAGAAATGATGTTTGGAACATTTGCCTCATGAGTGTTCCTGGAATATTCAGAAGCAGCAGCTCATTTCTCAAGAGGCTTATGATGTGAACATTTCTCATCTAAACTTTTCATGTGCTCTGTGTTTATCAAAATAATTTGATATAGTCAGCATTCTATTTGTTACACAAATATGAATTCATCTTGTGGATCTTCTAAAACAATGTTTTAAGTCTAGTCTTACAAAATACAAACTGATTTTAATATTACACCAAACAAAAGACAATAAGAAAAATTCGCTGCTCCCCAAACAGTTTCCTCAGAAACTAAATACAAGTACTTTTTGATAATCCGATGTTCTGGACCACCCGTTTCTTTATTATCACAAGCCACCTACAGCCTCCCTACAGGGTCCCCATGAAAGTGTTGCTTTTTCACAAGTCTTTATATCACAGGTTTTCAGAACCTCTGCAAGGTACTGCGACAAAAACAAGTAGCTATTGGCAAAAGATCTTTCAGTATCGTTTGGTAGACAACACTCAAAATGGGTATTGTAATCGCCATTTTACAAATGAGAAACCAAGGCCGAGACAGATTAGGTGACTTGCCCCAAGAATCACAGCTAATAATTTGTAAGGCTGAAATCTAGCCCATGTCTTTCTGCCTGAGTCATGCTCTTACTTCAGCCCACCACACTGGGTCTGTACAGTATGTAATTAAGCACAAAATTGTTTGATACCAAACGTTAAGAGCCTAGCTGGTATGGCTTAGTGGATTGCACACTGTCCAAATGTTAAGGAGGGTTTCAAAAAGGAAAGGAGACTTGAATTAGTGTTGAGTTAGCGAAGGAGTTGGTTAGGCAAAATAGAGGAGAAAAGGCACTTCAGGATAGGATAAATAATGGGTAAATGTATGTGGGCAGGACCGAGTGAGAACTATCCAATGACAGGGTCATTCACCGTGGGGCACCATAGGGAATAAGGCCAGTCTGGACAGGGGAGAAATTTAAGCTCAGAAGTCAGGATGACAAACATCAGGGAGGGACATGGGGCAGGGTGTGTAAAAACTAAGTTTCAGAGAAAGACAGAGGGAGCTTTTTCCATTGTACAAGATTGTTTGTCCAATTTAGCAAATTTGTGCAATGAACGGCAGCACAGGACCTCTTCTCAGATCCTGGCGATTGTGAATATCCCACTGTGGCTGAGCAGTGAAAAGCAGGAGGGATGGCTTTAGAGGACGGGGGGATTTGGCGGGTGCCCCTTGGAGTTGGGAAGACCTGGGAGGCAGTGGCAGGAGAATAGAAAGAAAGCCTGAGCGTAGGCCCAGCCTATGGGAGACCAAGGGTAGCCCAGGCTTCAACTTTTATAGAGAAAAAGCATAAAAGTTAATGAAAGGCGTTGAAAGACCTGACTATCCAGTGAGATATGGGAAAGCTCAATGTCATAGACAACTTAGTTCTTTCCAAGTTAATTTGTAATTTAAAATCCTAACAAAAGGTTTCATGGAATTTGTCAAAATTCTAAAATTAATCTAGAAGAGTAAAGGTGTAAGAATGAACAAAACAGTTTTGGAAGAGAAAGAAGGGACTTGCCCTATCAGATAATAAGACATTTTTAACAGATAAAAATTTGTCAATTTGATATTGGCACAGAAACTGACAGACAGAATTGGGCAATGCAATGTCCTCAACTAGGTGCAAATTTACTCCCCAAGGACATCTGGCAATGTGTGGAAACATTTTTGGTTGTCACAACTGGGTGAGAGATATCTTTTGGTAGAGGCCAGGGATGCTGTTAAACATCCTACAACACAGAACAAGGCTCCATAACAAAGAACTTTCCAAAATGTCGATAGTGCTCATGTTGAGAAACCCTAGAATAGAAAGTCCAGAAACAGACTAAAATACAGGAATTTAAATAAAACATTTAATTTTAAAAATTTAAAAAGTAAAGGAAAAATTGGCAAATTTGCCTGCATAAAATGCAAATAGACATCAAATACGAATAATACAAAAGACATTATACAGAAAGTTAAAAAACAAGTGATAGACTACAAAGATATTAAAAATGGATCTACACACATACAGGCAATCATTATTTACAGATTCAATATTTGTGAATCTGCCTATTTGCTAAAACTTATTTGTAACCTCAAAATCAATACTTGCAGTGTTTTCAAGGTCGTTTGCAAATGTGGACATGCGCAGAGCAGCAAAAAAATTGAGTTGCCCCATCACACACATTCCTAGCTGAGGTTGAACAAGGCCATGCTCTGCCTTCTTGTTTCAGCTCTTACACTGTAAACAAGTGTCCTTTTCATCGTATACTGAGTGCCATGTTATTGCATTTTTATGACTTTTGATTTTTGATTGACTTTTTTTACGACTTTTGATTGAAGGTTTTGATGATGGTTTCACTGTTGAAAATAGCCCCCAAATGTAGTGCTAAAGTGCTGTCTAGTATTCCTAAGCACGAATAAGACTGTGATGTGTTTTGTGGAGAAAATACATGCTTCAGGTAAACTTTGTTCAGGCAGGAGTTATAGTGCTAATGGCCATCAGTTAAATATTAAAAATTAACAATATGTATTAAATACGGTGTCTTTAAACAGAAATACACAAAACAAAGTTATGTCTTGATTCATTGCCAAAAATGTTTTGACCAGGGACTCACAGGAACCTAACTTATATTAATTACATTGGGAAAATGGATCACATTAGCGCTGAGAAGTTTGGGTGGGGAGAATGGCTACTGTCATATATAGCTGATAAAAGTATATAGTGGTACCACCATTCTGTAGAGTAAGTTGACAATATCTATTTATATTAAAAGTGAATATACCCTATAACTCAGTAATTCTACTTCTAATTATCTTAGAAGAAATAGTTATACTAGAAGAGGATTTGTAAAGATGGATAACATGATAGTTTGTTATATTGGAAACAAACAAAGTGTCTACCAGTAGAGGAATAATGAGATATAATACTATAGTTAGAAGGAATGAACTAGCTCTAAATAGATCATCTCATTTGTTCTTCACAATAACTGGGCAGAGTATAGATCTTATTACTATCCATTTTACAGATGAAGAAACGGAAGCCCAAGTTACCTAGTGAGTGACAGAGCCAACTCTACCTCCACTCCTTGCTCTCCTTATTTCTGTGCTGCGAAACAAAAGTCCCTATTATACGCCAGACACTCTTAAACTTTGCATGCATTATCTCATCTAATTTTCCCAACTATCTGAGTGAGGTATGTATGATCATCATCCATTTTACAGATGTGAAAACCAGGTCTCAGAGAGGTGAGATGACTTACCCAAGGGATTAGAGTTTGTAAATTGTGAATCTGGAATTTAAATACATGTGTTTTTCTGCCTTCAAAGTCCTACTCTTTCTGCCTTACCAGGCCAGGTCCATGAATGCTCCTGCTTATGTCCTGGTCCCCTGATCTCTCCCCACCCTTTTTCTTTGCTCACCCCAAGCTTTTCTGTCAAAAGGAATACAGTGCATCTCTTTGCCCTGTGAGTGAAAATCACCCTCCTCCTTTTTATTGCTCAGCTACTAGCCCGTTATTCAGTTGCAAGGGTTTGAGATAGCTTATGTTCTTGCTGTTTGCTTCTTATTTTTAAGATTGAAAATGCATTAACTGACCTTTTATTAAATGATAGCTTTTAGCTCTGTCTTTTGCCCAGTCTCAGCCCTTAGTTCTTCTCTTTTTTCTTCATTAATTGCTGCCCTCTGCTTCCCAGGAGCCTCTTGTCCCTCCTTCTGCATTTGAGACAGCTTAAGCTCACCATCTTATACTCATCAGAGCTTTACCCTTTACACAGACTTCCATTTTTATTTGCTCTCTCCCTCGCCAGCGGGGCATATAGAGAGATCATTAGCCCTATTTACATCAGAGGACACCAAGAGAAGTGAATTGGCCAAATCTATACAGCAGTGATCATGTGTTGCTGGGATGTCAGTCCTGATCTCCCAGCCTCTATGGTCATTGCACTATACCTCAGGGGCCTGATCTGAGTGTGAGGACAAGGATCGTGTGGGCAGTGCCTTGGCAAGAGCATAGTGGGAATGGAACAGAGTCTCTGAAAACAGCCTCCAGCTGCTACTCAGGTGTTCTGTACTGGCCCATCACCCCCATTTCCACGCTATCCCCCAAACTTGGGGTGCAAAAAAACCATAACACTCTTACTCTGGTACTTTGTAACTATCTTGATCAGAAGAGTGACTGAGTTCCTACTGTTGTGCTAGATGCTATGCTAAGAACTTTAAACATATTATCCCATTTACCTGCCTAACTACTCTGCCAAGTGTTTATAAGCAATCCTATTTTGCAGATGAGGTGAGTGAGGTTAAATATGGAGTTTCTGTTCAAACCTTGGTGCATTTAATAAGAGACAAAGAAAACAATGCGGGTAAAAATGGAAGACAAGAGGTCAGTTCTCATCATTGTCTTAAAGGTGTTGGTGAGGAGCTTATTAGTCAGTCATTTTCATTGACTCAGACGGCTCCTAGAAATCAAGTCCAATGCTTTCACTGTAGAGATGAGGAGCCGAGGCCGTAAAAGACAGTCACAAGCCCAAGGTCACCCAGCCAACTGGCTAAGCCTTTGCCTCCTAGTCCAGAGATATTTCCCTGCAGCAGCCCCTCTCACTTTCCAGTGAAGGTTCATTTGCACGAGAGCCCACTGCTTTTTCATGACCCGCATTTGGTACTTATGACCTAAACAAACTTCGGTGATGAATCAGTCTTTCTTTTTGTTTTTTAATTGACAAGTTCTTTGATTATGTCTATTTTAGGTTTTTTTGGTTTTTTGAGACACAAGTAATACACACACATATATTCATTTTTTGAATTTTTTGAATTTTTTTGGAAAATGAGAAGATGCAGATAGGCAAAAAATGAGATAAAGTACAGATCACAGAGAATCACTATTAACCTTTTGGTGTATAATAGTTCACTTTTTGCCTTATAACACATGTAGATGTACATTATATATGTTTTTCAACAAGTTGTTTTCACTGTACAATATACAATGAGCATCTTCTCATGCAAATGAATGAAACACCCTATTAAATGAATGAGATTGGGTCAAAAGATGAGATGTTGGTAACAAGAATAATCTGTAAATCAAAGGATCACTGAAGGACTGGAGTAAAATAGTAGCAAATATTTAGCAAGAAAATGCAGACAAAAAGAACCTAGTGGCGGTGATATTAATAACAGAAAATAGTTGAATTCAGGGGAGAAATGCATTAAATGGGATAAGGACAGTCCCCAGAATGCCTTTTGTTAGAATGCAGAGCCCTAAACTTCTTTCTCAGACCGTTTATCTCTTCCAAACACCTTTCCATCTCATCTCCCTCTCTTGTCATTTCTTCATTATTAAAATGCCTGTCATCTTTTTCCTCTTTAAATTCCTCGAGAGACTGAAGCAGCCTTTGCCTACAATTCCCTTCACTTTGCTGGCATTCAAATTTTCCATAGGGATGTTTTTCCTCTCTCTTTGCCAGGCTGCACTTGGGCTTCCCTTCATTTTCTTTGCAGGGTTTTTTTACATGATGTAGTTGTTTCCTGTGACAATTTGGGATAGTTTCCTCCTCTTTTCCTTGCCTTGAGATGTCTGTGAGCCTAGACCCTCAGAGCACCTGCAGACAGAACTAAAGGGAGAGGGAGAGGGAGAGGGAGAGTTCTCTGCTGGGATTTAAGGGATTCAAGTCCTCTTTCTCTTGGCCACAGTCACAATCACTTGCAGGGCAGTCAGTCTTAACTCATCTGTGAGCAGGGAGAGAATCTAATTCCTCTTCATGTTGGTCATCACAGACTATTCCAAGTTGATGGCTGAGGGCCTCAGGCAATGGGAGGGCTGGCCACAGAGGTCCTTGGAGAATGGTGGGAAGACACAACCCTGGTGTGGAACAACAGAGAGCCTGGCTCTAAAACCGGTTTTGCAGCTCTCATTATGTGGCCTTAGGCAAGTCATTCTCTCTGGGCCTCTGTTTACTCTGTAAAATGTATACAGTAATGCCTACTAAGAAAGCTGTGAAAACTAGAGGTGATGCTTACATAGGAGACAAATTAATCTCTGACACATGGTAGGCTTTGAACAATTTTTTTGTTATTATTATTAGGTACCTAGGTTTTACGTTAGTCTCCTCAAAGAGTCTGTTGATATCTCAGAGATAGGAACTGTATCTTAAATGCCTTTGAATCTCCAGGACCTCGCCTATTCCTAATCCCTACTAAGAGTATGCTTGCTCTCTGGGAAGAGTCCAAGCTTTCAATCAAGCTGAATGAGAAGTGAATCCTGGATCCAATACTGAATGGCTGTTTAAATATTGACTTTTTCTACTTGGGCCTCATTTATTTTTCTATAACATGGAATAATAATACCCACCTCAGAGTGTTGTTAGAAGAATCAGATAAGATTTTTGTATCAGTGCATAACAGCCAAACACGAATCTTACTGTATGTAACTGCCTTGTGCTGAGAGCCCCACAATTTAAGAGGGACTTTGACCAATCAGAAGGCGATTAGAGGCAGCTCAGTCTAGGAACCAAGTCATGTGAGTATCAGCTGAGGAGCTGGGGACTTTTGGCCTTGAACAAACAGCTTCAGGACTCACAGCCTAGGCCCTCAGATCTCTGCAAGGCTGTCCTGTGGCACAAGGAGGAGACATTTGGTGAGAAGCCAGAGAACAGAGCTGGGATCAGTGTAGGGAGACATAAGGAAGCAGATACTGATTCAATAAAGACACACCTCTCTTTGAAAGAGACCTGAAATACTCTTGTGAAAAACAGCCTCACTTCTCTGGGCTATTTAGTTCATCAATTTGTAACTCTTAGTTTTGGGGGGAAAAAGAAGCACCCCCAAAACTGGAAAGTAATCGGAGCAAGGCTAAATGTGAGATTTATTGATAGTTAAGGGGATTCTTGCATTGCATAGAAGGTTGCTAAACCCTTGTACCAAATAGAATGCCTTAAAATGCAAGCTTAAATAACAAAGGATCCCAAGGAGCCTACTAAACACACACACACATACATACAAAACAACCTCCTAGAACTAGTAAGTGCATTTAGCAAGGTCATTGTATGACCTACTTGAAAGATGAGAACCAACATCAATTCTATTTATATATGAGATAAATTAGCAACAAACAATTGGGGACAATTAAAAACACAATAATACCATTTATTGCCACTCCCCCAAAATGACATACGTAGATGTAAAAACTAATAAAACAGGATTTGTATAATAAAAACTATAAAATGCTGATGAAGGAAACCAAAGAAGACAAATAAATGGAGAGCTAGGCCATATTTATGAATTGGAAGGCTCAACATAGTAAAGATAAACATTGAAGCAGTTTATTTGTATATATAGACGAATTGAGTCTAAGATTTATATGAAAAGACAAAGGAACTACAATAGCTAAAATAATATTGAAAAGAATAATAAAGTTGGAGGAAATCATACTCCTTAGTAAGATTTTAAGATATATTATTTAGGAACAATAATCAACAGTAATCAGGACAGTGTGGTACTGGAGGAAGGACAGACACATAGTTCAAGATAGGATGCAGAAATAGACCCACATGATAAGTACGCCCAAAAGATTTTTGACAAAGATACAAAAGCAATTCAATGGAGGAAGAATAGTCTTCTCAATAAATTGTGTTGGAACAACTAGACTTCATAGGTAAAAAAAAAAATAAAACTTTACCTAAATATTGTATAGATCTATATGTAAACCATATAGATCTAAAAAACTTTTACTATAAAACTTTTAAAAGAAATCAGGAGAAAATGTCCATTACCTGGAGTTTGGCAAAGACTTCTTAGACAAGGCACCACAGGCAAAACTCATTTTTTTCTTTTAATTTTTATTTATTTTTAATTTTTAATTTATTTAGTGTTTATGCTATTACAGTTGTCCCAATTTTCCCCTCTTTGCCCCATAGCCCCCAGTCCCCCCTTCCCACACTGATGTCACGTTACATGTGTGTCAATCCCCACACCGATGTTCATGGACATGTGTGATGCATATATGTCCATGGGTGATGCATATGTTCTTTGTCTAATTCCTTCACCTTCTTTCAAGTAGTCCCACCCTCCACCTTCCCCTCACAACTGTTTGTTCAGTCTGTTCCTTTTATCTGTGCTTCTGATTCTATTCTGCTCATTGGTTTATTTTGTTCCTTAAATTCCAGTTATAAGTGAGATAGTATTTGTCTTTCATTGCAAAATGAAAAGGGAACCCACTGTATGAGAGAACATATTTGCCAATGAAACATTGGACAAGGGTTTAATCTCCCAAATATATAAAGAACTTGTACGACTCAACACCAGGAAGAAAAACAATCCAATTAAAAAATGGGCAAAGGACCTGAATAGACACTTCTCCTAGGAGGACATACAGATGGTGCATAGATATATGAAACAATGCTCAACATCACTAGCAATCAGAGAGATGCAAATTAAAACCGCAATGATATATCACCTCACACCTGCCAAAATGGCTATCATTAATAAATCAGCAAACAAGGGCTAGTGAGGATGTGAAGAAAAGGGAACCCTAGGGCACTGTTGGTGGGAATGCAGACTGGTGCAGCTGCTCTGGAAAACAGTATGGAGTTTCCTTACAAAATTAAAAATGGAACTGCCTTTTGATCCAGTGATTCCACCACTGGGGCTATATTCAAAGAATCTTGAAACACCAGTTCAAAAGAATATATGCACCCCTATATTCATAGCATTATTTACAATAGCCAAGATTTGGAAACAACCTAAGTGCCCATCAGTAGAGTAGTAGATAAGAAAGTTGTGATACATTTATACAATGGAATATTATGCAGCAGTAAAAAAGAAATTCTTACCGTTTGCAACAGCATGGATGGAACTGGAGACTATTATGCTAAGTGAAATAAGCCAGGCAATGAAAGACAACTCATTATTTTTTAATTTGTCATTGAACTTCATCAAAATCCAAAGTTTTTGTGGTGTAGAAGACCCTATTAAGATAATGAAAAGACAAGCCCCTTATTTCTAACAAAGTAATATTCTAACAAACAACTTTTATCCAGAATATATAAAGAATCCCCAAAACTTAACATTAACAAAACAAATAATCCCACTAGGAAATGAGCAAAAGACTTAACCAGGTACTTCACAGATAGCAAGTAAGCACATGAAAAAATGTTTCCCTTCATTAGCCATTAAAAAAATGAATATTAAATCTACAATGAGATACCAGTTCACACTTATCAGAATACTGAAGTGAAAACACTGACAATACCAAATGAGGAATGAAGCAACCAGATCTCTTGTATACAAGGTGGGACAAAAGAAGGTTTACGGTTGTGAGTATGTGAAACGGAGTTTATTCTCATATTATTATTTAATTATTATATTATTTTCCATATGAATAACTGTAAACCTACTTTTGCCCTACCCTGTATTGCTGGTGGGAATGTAAAATGGTACAGCCACTTTGGAAGATAGTTGGGTGTTTTCATAAAGTTACACATGCACCACTTACTATATTTGTTAATTTCCTATGGCCACTATAACAAATTACCACAAACTTGGTAGCTAAACATAATAGAAATTTATCCTCTCACAATTCTGGGGGCCAGAAATTCAAAATCAGTTTTGCTGGGCCTAAATCAAAGTCTCCAGGGGTAAATCTGTTCCTTGACTCTTTTTCTGGTGACTGCCAGCATTCCTTTGCTTGTAGCTGCATCACTCCAATTTCTACCTCTGTCTTCTCATCACTATCTGTGTGTGTCTCCCTCCCTCTGTCTTTCCCTTATAAGGGTACTTGTGATGGAACTTAGGGCCCACTTAAATAATTCAGGATAATGTCCTCATCTCAGAATTTTCAATTTAAGTATATATGAAAAACTTTACCATATAAGATAACATTTACAGAACCTAGAGATTAGGAACTGAGGTCTTTGGGGGCCAACACTCAGCCCACTATACTGTGCAAATCAGTCGTCACACTCCTAGGTATTTATCCTATAGTAATGAAAGTGTACATCTGTACAAAACCTCTACATGAGTGTTCATAGCAGCTTTGTTTGTAATAGGTAAAAACTGGAAACAACCCAAATGTCCTTCAGTGGACAAATAGTACAACCATACAATATATGCAGCTATAAAAAGGAATGAACTATCCATATACACAACAACCTGAATGGATCTCAAGGATATTATGCAGAGTGAAAAAAAGCCAATCTCAAAAAGTTATATACTGTATGATTCCATTTATATAACACTTTTGAAATGACAAAATTATAGTAATGGAGAGTGTATAGTGGTTACTGGGAATTAGGTATAAGAGGAAGGTCTGACTATAAAGGTGTAGCATGAGGAAGTTTCTTTGCAGTGACAGACAGTTTTTTATCCTGAGTATGCCAGTGGTTATGAAAAGCTACACATGTGATAAACTTTTATAGTACTAAACACCAAAAAAGTACATGCAAAAACTAGTAAAATGAAATAGGATCAATAGTAGCTTAGTTAATAGTATTGTATCAATGTCAGTCTTTTGGTTTTGGAATTGCTTTATGGTTATATAATATGTTATCAATGGAGAAAGCTAGATGAAGGATATACCGGAACTCTACTATTTTTGTAACTTCTTGTGAGTCTTAAATTGTTTAAAAATAGAAAGTTAAAAACAAAACAAACACAAAAGTATATTTATTGATTCTGTAGGTGAGAAGTCCAAAAGTAGGGCTGGGCTTTAAGCATGGTTTGAATAGAAGTTCACAATGTTCTCAGGCTTATGACTACATCCTCCAAGATTCTCTCAACTCTGCCTTCTATCTGTGTTACCTTTCTCCTCAGACTGACTTTGCTCATGGTACCAAGTTGGCTGCCAGCAGTCCCTAGGGCTATGTACTTTTTCTTCCCTTCTACGTGCCAGGAGGAGAAAGGGAACTATCTCTTTCTTCAACCAGTGGGAAATAATAAAGGCCCGAGCTCTACTCTGATTGACCACCTTAGGTCATGTGCCCACCTCTAACCCAATCACTGTACCGAGGGAAATGTTATGCATTGATTCCCTATCCATATGACGAAGGAATGGGATTACTTGATTGGCTCAGATCAATCAGGGCCCACTCCTGTAGATGGGGTGGGGGCAATCCCATCCAAATATAATTACTATTAGCAGGTGGGGAAGGGGAAGAATGGATGTTGGGTAGGCAACTCCAATATTCAGTAAAACTTCCTTCTTGACATTTACTCTTCCCTTAGTTTCCGAGGTACCATTTTCATAGATATCCTCCATCGATGGGTCTTAAAGCATGAGTTTTCTAAACAGAGAAGGTATAAAATGTCATTCTAGAAGAAAGAGCATGAAGACCCAGAGATGTGAAGGGATGGACCCATTTAGGGAACAATGAAAATTTTGGTGTGGCTAAGTGTAGAGATCATGAGGGAAGAGTGGTTAGTAATGACCCTGAATAGAAGAGATGGGACCAGTAGTGAAGAACCTTGAATGCCGTGTAAAGTGTCACAGATAATGGGAAGACATTGAAGGCTTTTAAGAAAGAACAGTACATGGACTCACTTGACCTTAGAAAGATCTCTCTGGCTACAGCCTGGAAGGTAGACTGGAAGGGCCTGACTGGAGGCTGTTCCAGTGCTCTGGGCAGAAGAAGGTGAAAGCCTCACCAAGAATGGTGGCCTTCAGGATGGAGAGAAATGGATGAATATGGCAGATAGTGATTTGGCGGAATGAGCAAGACTTGATGAACTGCTTGGCTTTGTGAAGGGATTAGAGGACAAAGGTGTGAAAGATGGTGAGAGAGACTTACATTTCTGGCTTGAACACTTGATACTTTTTTAGGCAGGAATGCCTAATTGTGTCAAATGCTGATGAGTTAAGGGAGATAAGGATTTATAAGTGACCATGGGATTTAGTGACAAAATATTTTAAGCTATGGTGGGCACAGAAACCAAGAAAATTGCATCAGAGTAAGTCAGGAATGGGAAGTGGAGAAAAATAAAGCCACATGAGCCTCCTTTCAAATTCAGATATAAGAGGAGAGGATAACTCAGTAGATGAAGGAAGTCATGAAATCTATTATTAAAATAATGTATGTTTTTAACATTTCTAAAAAAAAAATTTCTCTGCATACTGGTTGTGTAGTAAGCCTGTATCCTGATCTATAAAATTAGTTTTTTAATAGTACCTACGTCATAGGTTTACGGTGAAGGTCCAGTCTTCATATCTCTTAACAATTGTTTATTGTCTGCCTCCCCCACTAATCTTTAAGTTTATGAGCAACATTGACAGCTCCTAGTGCAAGGCACGGTATATGACTAACAAATATATGTTAGATGAATGCTGCATTTAAGACTCTGAGCACACTCAAGGTAAGCACTCAGAGAAGTTAGCCAGGGTGTGTGAGCCCAGTGGGAGGAATGGGATGCAGGAGGAAACCCCATGCCCTCGGCTTGCTGTTTTCCAGATCCTGAGGAGGTGCCCCCTGACAGCCAAGATGGGAATACAGGCAAGCCAGTGGAGGTGCCGGGAGTCAACCCTCTACAGCAAAGTTATCCCTTCCTGAAACCACACCTGGACTGGAATGAGGAGCAAGCTGTGGATCCCAGATGCCTTCTTCAGCATTGTTTCATGGCCACAGTGACCACCAATGACATTCCAGGCATCCCTGAGGGGGCCTCTGTCCCCAATCTAATCTCACATGCACCAGAGCCATAGACATTCAATAAATGTCTTTACACCATCCTCTTCTGGAGTCTCTATTCAGTAGAAATCTGGGGATGGGGGTGATCAAAGGTACTTTAGGACCTAGTGGGATAAATGAGGGCTTTTCCCAGCAAACCTACCCCGAGCCTGCCGTGGACCCACCTATTCTGCTCTGCCTGGTCCACTGTGAGCCAAAGGGAATTAAGACATGGATCTGAAGTAAAATGATCAGTAATAACTCCATGAAATCAAGGAGAAGCCTATGGTTTATGGAGGCTCAGAGGAGCCACTCACCTAATCTGGAGAGTGCGAGAATCCTGACTTGTTCTTCCTGATACAGAACAGGTGTACTTGGGATACCATGGAAGATGACTGGTACCCAGGAGTAGATACTTCTCTGCTCCACTCCTAGAGTGAGCTGCTTGTCTATGTAGAGTACACAGGGCCTGACCATGTTTAATATCATTCAGTTCCTTAGGTGGATGAAAGAGTGAATCAACGAGTGAGGAAATGAATGGTTAGCAGGTCAAACACAGGCTCCACAATGGGGACTCAGCCACTTCCTGACCCTGTGTAGCCCTGATAGAGTCCTTAGTATCCCTGATCCTCACTCCTTTGCTGGGTCATGGTGAGTGTCCAGAGATGATGGATGCGAACCCCCTTCATAAACATAAAAGTACTACAAATACTTTAAAATTACAAATGGGTGCTTTAGTTGTTGTTGTTTATAGATGAATGAACTTTTTTTCAGTATTTTTTTTAAATTCAGATATTTTCTTTTTAATTTTTAAAAAATTTTTAAATCATGTTTCTTCTATTACAGTTGTCTCAACTTTTCCCCCTTTGTCCGTCTCCACCCATCCTCCCCCCGCCCCCCGCTCCTACAGTCAATTCCCACTCTGTTGTCCATGTCCATGGGTCATTCATACGTGTTCTTTGTCTAGTCCCTTCCCTTCTTTCTACCATTGTCCTCTTTCCCCAACCCCTCTGGTCACTTTCAGTCTGCTCCATGGTTCCATGCCTGTGGCTTACTTTGCTCATTAGTTTATTTTGTTGAATAGATTCCACTTATAGGTGGGATCATATGGTATTTGTTTTTCACCAACTGGCTTATTTCACTTAACATAATATTCTACAGTTCCATCCACGTTGTTGCTAACAGTAGGAGTTCCATCTCTCTCTCTCTCTTTCTTTCTTTCCTAAATGCACATTGATTTTATTTATTTTTTTAAATGTCAAAGCCAATTATAAATATTAAAAAACTTAAAACCATTATAAAGTCTCAGCAATTAAAACATGACACCAGCACAGAAATAATCAAATAGATCAATGAAATAAAATGAGCACTCTAGAAACAAACATATATATCTGTCTAGCAATGTAATATATGGTTAAATTGATATTCCAAAGCAATGGGAAAAATAAGGTTTATTCAACAAATAAGGTGCATGGGCCACTATTACTTGAAATAAAACAAATATAGAGCCCTATTTCACACATTATACAAGAAATATTCAGGTGAATTAAAAATCAATATGTAGAATCTAAGGAGTTTTAGGAGAAAATACAAACTAATATTTTTCTTACCCTGAAGTAAAATATTCAAACCCAGAAGCTATTAAGTAAAATATTAACAATATGACTATGTTAAACATTTAAGACTATATAGTAATATACATATTAAAAAAAGTTAAAGGACAAGAAATAGAATGGGAAAGTATTTGCCGCACATCTGAAAGAGGGTTAATAGTTGGGTTTTTTTTTTAGGGAAAAAAATTCTATGAACCTTTAATCAATAAATTGATAAAAAATACCAAAAAGTCATTTAAAGCTTTTTAAAAATAATAGGCAAGAAATATACAAAAACAGGTTTAGTTTCAACAAATAATAAAGGAACAATTGAAATAACATATCATTGTCATAATCAGATTAATCCATATTAAAATATTGGTAATATCAAGTACTGGCAACTGTGAAGGGAACTTGGTATTCATAGACTCTTTTTATTCATCTTCTTAAAGTAGTCCCTTTAGCATATTTTGCAATGTTGATTTGGTGGAGGTGTATTCTTTTAGCCTTCTTTTGTCTGAGAAACTCCTTATTTCACCTTCCATTTTAATTGAGAGCCTTGCTGGGTAGAGCTGTCTTGGTTGCAGGCCTTTACTTTTCATGACTTGGAATATTTCTAGCCATTCCCTTCTGGCTTGCAGTGTTTCTGTTGAGAAGTCAGCTACTAGCCGTATCGGGGCTCCCTTTTACGTTACTACCTGTTTCTCCCTTGCTGCCTTTAGGATTCTCTGTTTGTCTTTGGTATTTGCTATTTTAATGATGATGTGTCTTGGAGTGCGCTTCATCGGGTTCCTCTTGAATGGGACTCTCTGTGCTTCCTGAACTTGTGTGACTTTTTCTCTCCTCCAATTAGGGAAGTTTTCCATCATGACTTTTTCAAACAGGTTCTCTATCCCTTCCTCATCCTCTTCGCCTTCTGGTGTCCCTATTATATGGATAGTACTACGTTTCAGGTTGTCCTGAATTTCCCGAAATGCCTCTTCATTCTTTTTGAGTCTTTTTACATTTTCTTGCTCTTTCTGGGAGCTTGTTTCTACCTTGTCCTCCAGCTCGCTGATTTGATCCTCTGCTTCATCTGGCCTGCTTTTGATTCCTTCTACTGTGTTCTTTATTTCAGAAATTATATTCTTCATTTCCTCTTGTTTCTTATTGATAGTTTCTCTGTCCTTTTTCATGCTGATATAGTTTTCAGTAAGTTCCTCGTAGTTTCCCTGTAGTTTTTTGTAATTCTCTCTGAGCTCACTGAGCTCATTGAGCTTCCTTAGAACCATTGTTTGGAACTCAATATCTAATAGTTTACTTGCCTCTATTTCATTTAGTTCTCTTTCTGGGGATTCCTTCTTTTTCTTCAACTAGGGGGTGTTTCTTTGTCTTCCCATTATTTGTGAGACTCTTCTTTTTTGCTTCTGCTTCTTCAATTAATCTGTCTTGATTGCCTGACTTTGTGGTGGGAACTTCTGTGGTAGGAGACCGCTGTTTTCACTTTCTGGATCTGCCTCTGATGATGTCAGATGTCATTCCTATCTGCCCTTAGGCAGTCTGTTCGAGACTTCCAGGAATCTACTCCAAATGGGTGTTTTTCAATATAACAGTAAGAGCAAGTGCTCTGGAGCCAAGTGATTGTTTTAAATCTTGTCCCTGCCCTTACTTGTTAGGTAACGTTTGTACCTTTGTTCTCTCATCCATCTAAGTGAGTATAATAGTTGAACCTAACTTAAAGAATTTTGGAGGTTTAAGTTACTGAGTGCAAAATACTTAGAGTTGGCAAATGGAAAGCTTTATGTGTTGGCTTTTTTTTTTTTAAATTAAGCTGATAGCAAAGAAATCTTAGGGCAGGATGCTGACTGCCACCCCTCTCTCTCAGCTGTTCTCATTTTTTTTATTTTGAAAGTCTAATGGGCTTTATTAAGTGATTCATGAAAAGAGCAGCATTCCATGTAGCAAGTACAGAGGGCCCTCCCCACTTCTCTTCATCTTTGGCAGTGGCTCTAGGCTTTGCCTTGGGAGAGCAATGCATGGATCGGAGATACTCAGTAGCCACTGAAAGCAGCTCTTGACATTTCTGACAGTGACAAAACCTACTGCTGGATTTGACAACACTGAATTGGTCACTTTTAGACATTTCATGGGAACTAAGCCAGCCAAGGGCACATGACAGGGTGAGTCACACACAGAACTGCCCTAGGCTGGAAGCCAAGAGACCTTGGCTCTGGTTTTGCTTTATTTGTTGTCTTGTGTGCATGTGAATGTATGTGCATGTTGCATTTTCAGCACTCTAAACCCAGCACCTTTGTCTATTTCTTGTATATTTAGTGGCATCTTCTGTGCCAGGACCAGTGCAGACTTCCAGGACAATAGAGAATCAGCCACAGCTGCTGCCCTCAGGGGTTCATACAGAGGGCAAGGTAGGCACACAAAAGGGCGGTTGGCCCAATGGCAGCCCTTCATGCAGCTTGAGGAAGGACTAAGTGATACTTGAGCTGAATCATCAAAGATGAGTCAAAGGTTCCAGGTTAGATAATATCAGAAGACATTATGATCAGAGTACAACCTGTTCAGAAACAGTGAGAGCCTTGCACAGCCCAGGAACTGCGAGTGGCAGGGAAGTTTAGTCTCTGCTGTTCTGTGTGACCTTTCACATGACAGATCCTGTCTCCCTCCTTAGCATTTCTGTGAGGAAAATCCAATTTTTCTCCTAACAGTTTCTGTGTTGGGCCTCCTGGGAAGTTACAAAGAAGAATCCAATGCTACCCTTGCCTTTAGGTCCGATAGGGGAAGATGATCTGTAAATTCTAAAAACTCCAGTGGTTGTCAGTGGCCTAAGGCAACCTTTCCCACACAACATCAGAATCAGCTGGAGGGCTTGTTAAAACTCAGATCATTGGACCCACCCTTCTTTCCCCCTCAGAGTGTCAGATTCAGTAGGTCTGGAGTAAGTCCCCAGAATTTGCATTTCTAAGTAGTTCCAGGTGATGCTGAGGCTGCTGCTCTGCGACCACCCTTTGAGCAAGCTGGCCAGGAAGAACAAAGGGGACTCAGAGCTGGAGGTTGGGAGGAGACCTCACACTGAGCAGAGCCCTGAAGACCTGGTAGGATTTCCCCAGCAGGAGCCCGTGTGGATGGGGTAAGGATAGGTGGAATACAGACTCTATGTGCTGTCTGTCTTTGCTTACCTACTCATCCCTGGCCCATAAAGCTCCTCCCCATCCATCCCTCAGATTCAGCTTCTCTCATTTGAATTCAGTCAATCCTCAGAGCTGGCTCTCACTGGGGTTGGCTTGCCTAAGTCTTGGTTTGGAAACAAACTGCCCACCCTGTGCAGCAGGAATACCCCAACCCCCACTCCCAGGGCAGCCAAGGAGGAAGGAAGCTGGGTGGGCTGACGCACAGACAGAAATAGTCTGAGCTCACTGCTGCTCCCAAGCACACATCGACCGGCAATTATTTCTTGTAAA